CTTTATTGTAATATTCAGGAAATGCACTAGATAACTTATCTATTTTGGTTGATGCATTATTACTGAACATTTTTATAGCTTCTTTTTATTTTAAAGTATTTGAACCTTCCCAAGCACCCCCATAAGGTTTCCCAAGTGCTTTTATTTGTGTCTCCAGATAAAGTTCTTCACACAGTTCGTTATTTAATGCAGTCTCTCGTACTACTCGAGCACACAAACAGATGGACACGCATATTGAACAGGAAGGGGGGAATTTGTTCTTATTTTAATATTTTATTTTATATCTACTGATCTTTGTTTCCCTTATTGTAAGCTGCCCTTAGTCTTTTTTTGGAAGGACAGCATATAAATCAAATAAAAACAAATATAATTTCTGAAATGCTAACTTGAGCTAAAATAAATTAGTCTGAATATTTATGCAAAGTATTTGAAATGAATGTGCCATAAACTACTGTTCTGTGTTAATATCTGTTATTTACATTACATCCTTCCTGTGTCAGCACTGGTGCATACTGTAGAAATCAGCTTTTTTCCATTCCTCTGTCATTTGCTGTTGCTTCCATATGCATTGTAGTGTGGAGATCAGTTTCCCAGTAACAGATTTGCTTTAACCCTCTTTCTCACCTCATTTGGTAGCTTTGTGCAGGACTCTGTGTATTGGCATCCAAACTCCAGGTTCTACACAAGTGTGGTTCTGATGGAGTTGAGCTACTGGTTGGTGATTTTTCTTAGATGTCCACAAAAGATTACCATCAAAAAGATATTTGTCTTTGAAGGTATCTACCATAGTTGTCTGTTCATTTTTTTTTGTTAGGTTTCCAATTCTCAGCCCTACACTAGCAGTGAGATTGAGGTAAAAAATTTCAGTTTTGTTGTGGTGCTGTATACCTGATTTTCATATGTTGCCAGTGCTGTTCCTGTCTTGATGTCTCCAGTGACTTAGTTAAGCTCTACCTGGTAGGGGACCTTATCTGCCTTCTTGATGAATTAGCCTTCTGTTGTGGTGTTCATGTTTAATCTCTGGATTTCAAGTATATTTTCCATGGCAAAATGTTTGAGCTTTATTCAGCCTATGGGTTTCTCTCAGTTTTTCTATCTCTGTAGTTTTCTAGGATCCTTCACTCATGTTAATGTCATCAACAAAGTCTAGGTCTTTTAGGCAAGTGCCATTTAGCCAAGGTATTTGCTTTGTGTTGTCTATACCCTTCTTCATGTTTCAGTCTGTGGCAATGCCAGGCAGCAATAGAGTGAAAATGCAGCCCTGCTTCACTTCTGTGTGCAAATGAAACCCATTCTGATGCCTGGTTGTTCTCCCGAGAGGGTGCTTTGCATAGTTGTGTATCATCTGGATGATGACTTTAGCTGGAATTCTGTAGAGTTGAGAGAAGTTCCTCAATACAGGTCTATGCAGACTGTTAAATGCCTTTTGAGAATTGATGAAATTCATGCTGAGGGGAACCTGCCAGTCTATTCCCTCTTCTGTCAAGGACGGGTGGGATGAACCTTATCTGGACTGTACATGGTCTCTTGGGGATGAGTTGAATCCATGGTGTTCTTTATGCTTTGCATCCATTGTCTCTTTCATCCTACATAATACTGCATGTGGCTCCTCTCCAGTTGTTTTAGTACAGTACTATCCCTTTTTCAATATTTTATGATTCCATGTTTCCATTGGTTATAAGGGGTCTCTTTTCCTCAAACTTCAGTGGACACCTCTGTTACTTTCATATGCGCGGTGGTGATGGGGACTTGTAGTATTTCTGCTGTGATTAGATAAATTCTCAGTACTGTTGTTTTTCAGTTTCTCAGTACCAGTCTATTGGATACGTACTCATGTCAAGTTGCTCCGATTCCATGTAGGACTGGGTCTTCTGAGACCATCTTTTGCAAGTCCCATCTGTTTTTTTTTCCTTCTATTCTGTTTTAAGACTTATGTTGTTGCCAGTCCCAAGTCCAGGTAAAAGGGCTAAACAGGGCTAGTCACCTAGCAGTAGAGAGAGATGTGGTCTATTGGATTTCCAACACTCGCCTTCTAAATTGGTTTAAATGGCTGCATAGAAGAGAAAACTAAAAACCCCTTATGTATTATGAAAGCTTGTAATGAAAAGGCAGTATATGAAAGTTAGGACCCTGAAAAGTTTATTGCTGACAGCAAGTGATAGCCAACAATAGTTCAGTAATCCAATAGTCAATTATTGGAATTGAGAATGATGTATAAAAAACAGCAAAGACCTTGTAGATCTTGAGGGAGAAAGAAAACTGTGGACTTGAAATCCTGGCATCAGTGAAAATAGCTTGACAGGTATGGGAAAAAATGCTGTCAGAAAAAGAATTGCCTGTATTCAGATTGCAGCAGTGACAAGTATCCAGACAGTAACACCCACCATGGAAGTTTCTATGGAAAAGTCACGCATTGACTGGGAATCTTTCGAACAATGCATCATATATGCCAGATTCTAAACCATATTCTTAGAGATGTCAGTTGTTTAGTGCTGACAGAAGAACATAGAACAATGTTGAGGATAAAGATAAGTTTCACAATTGCTTCTAAAGCATGATTGACAGAATACCAGTACCAAACTTAATCCTTTTATTGAGTAAACTGCAAACCAAAGCAGAATGTGACATCCAAGGAGTGGAAAGAGAAATGGTGAGGCCTAGGCTGGGAATCATCAAACCAAACTAGCAAGAGATTAATTCAATTGTGCTTGCAAGTACCCGTCTCTCCAAACACATCCTAAAGGTACTGGTATGTTGAATTCACAAAATGGTATGTGCCTCACTTTGAAATCCAGGTCATCCATCCAAGATGCAAGAGCGTACTGAGCAGCAGATAGCAGCAACAATCACAGCCTTTGCTCTGTCAAACTGAAAATAAAACTAAGAAAGATTGACTTCAAACAGAAAGTGGCAAATAAAATCAGGAATTCAGAACTGTAAATTTAAGACACTGAGAAATAGCAATTTGAACTAAGGACAGATATAAGGCACTGTCAAAGGGTGTGTATAAAGGTTACATTTTTTTTGCACAGTGAGGCCCCCAAAAGTACTCTACAGCTGTAAACTAACAAACATTCAAGGCTGATCACACGAAAATTTAATCCTCCTATGATGAGTTAGTAGATGAAGGCGCTGTAAGGCAGAGTACCTTAGTGAACCTGTGTACCAGTTCTTGGGGAAGGTGACATCCACCTGTATCCCTTTGTGTAGGGCCATGTTCTAGCCTCAGCCTTGTCTCCTCTGCCTGCCTGAGCACCAGGCCAGCCCTGCCTGTGGTTGTCAGAGACAGCCTCTTATCCCAGCTCTGTTTCCTTCCACTGGCCAATTGAGAGCCACAGCCTGGCCAAGGTGAGGGAAGAAGCAATGGTGTCTCTGCCTGCAGTGCCCCTGGGACTGGGGGTGCTGGCAGCCCAGCTGAGTGTATTGTAGGGGAGAGGGATCTCTCCCCCCTGCTTGTTCTCTCAGGACCATATGCCACTGCAGCCTATGGGATCAGAGAGCAAGCAGGAGGAAGCCTTCCCCCTGCATTGCGCTTAGCCGGGCTGCCAGCTCCCCTGATCCCAGGGTTACTGCAGGCAAGGACATCATCCCTCCTACCTTCCCCCTGGCCAGGCTGTAGCTCTCAGCTGGCCAGAGGTAGGAGGTGGGGCTGGATTGAGAGGCTGTCACTGACAGTCTGGGGACTGAGCCAGCCACGGCCCTGCAGAAGGCAAGCTGCTGCTTGGCTATGGCTAGCCCTTGGCTGCTCTCAGGAGTTTCTGGCAGCTCCCTGAGCCTGCGGAGCACACTGGGAGGCATGCAACAGCTCCCCCTGCCTCCTGGCCTTCTCCAGTGCAGGGAGGCTCTGAGCTACCTCCCAACACACATGCCAAACAGCTGTTATGTTCAATCACGTTGTAACTTTTAGTACTTTGTGTAAAGTGCAAAAGTTACAGCATGATTGTAAGTGCCTTCCTGTCCTTTGTATGCACCCAAAGGCAGAAGAATGTGAGATACACAGTGGATCTGAAGAAAAATACACAGTGCTCAGAAAATTTGATTCAATCTGTAACAGGGACAGCTAGATAGAAACAGAACAAGAACTGGTAAAGCCAAAAGATATGACACCTCACTGAGGAAAGGAAGCACTAAGGAAAAAAGCCTGAATGCCAAGACCAACAAAACACAGGAAAACAATTGCAGGAGAATTATGAGAAAGCAGACAAATCAGTGATAAGCACTGCAAGGAAAGATAAACATAGGTATGTTGTAGATCTAGCAGTTGAAACCAGTGCTTTATGGTGGGGACACCACAGGTGTGTGCTGAAGGCAGAAGTGGTGAGGGGTCCGATCCTTTTTTTCTGCAGAGCCTGCCCGCCTCTCTTGCAGCCAGAGGTGAGCTGACTAGTAGCTGCAATGCATCGCATCAGGATGTAGTTTAGTAAACAATGCAAACTCATTTAGAAACCCCCAAACTCCTGCATGTGTACAGCGTGACTCCATTAAGCCACACAAAGTGACATTTTCATCACGTGTACATGGTAATGGTGTCATGGGTACAAACACACTCATTGTACAGTTACTTCTCAGTAAGTGACAGCATATCAATTGCTGATTGGATGACAGCCAGGATTAACCACAGAAAATTCAGAGATTTAAAAGAATCTGTAGAATATTTTAAGTAACAGACCATGAAACATTTAAAAGTCTTTACGCATTATAAACCCTTCATTCAGATTTCGTTCCCAAGCTAAAACTTGGTAATTTCCCTGTGAAACAGATACAGCTGTTTCTTCCTTTTGAGAAAACAATCTTTTTAATTTTAACTTGACATTATCAATCAGGTTTTTACATTTAACATTTGTTTTCTTTTTCATTTCCAACAGTTTTGCATTTTGGATAGCATCACAGTCCTTACATAATCTCTTTCTGCATGCTGTGTTTCACTTGATGTTACTTCTGTACAAAACAAATAATTTGTATCTGCTGTAAACAAACATTTAATTCTCTTACCTTTACAGATATGAGTTACCAGGAATAAATGGATTAAATTTTGTTCTGAAGAATTCCCTTGGTGGTGGTGGTATTGCATCTTTAAGAAGTGACCCACAGGCATGTATCTAAGCATTGATTTGATATAGTTATTTTTTATGGCTACTGACTGTATAGACTCTTTAACCAGCTACTGAGATGGATAAATAATCTTCTGCCTTTGTTTTTGTAGCTGCTTTTTAATTTCAGATAAGTATGTCAAGTTAATTTTTTGTAAGTTTGGAAACTGAGCAGTGCACTACAGTGCAAAGTGAGACTATTTGCTGGAAAAAAAATTGACATTTATACACTAAGGTGAATTTGAAAGCTTTATCAATGATGAAACTGGCCTTGTGGTGTATTAGCTCTGTTTTTTACATATCAGTGAACTCACAGAAAAAGTCTGTCATATTTTTGGAGAGTAAGTCTTTGCTAGACAACTATTTTTTATGAGTATATTGCTGTATAAAATGATCAAAACCTCAGATGGTCATATATTCCTTTAATACAATTCCTTTGACTTCCATGGAACTGCATATTAATTCATATCATTTAAGGATCTTCCTCCATAGAGCTCAATTCTGACTAGTTCAATACTGTTGAGATGAAGGTAGAGGCACTGTTAGTCTCCTAACTCCCACTACATAACTGCAGGATCTGGATGTTATTACTAGCATTCTTGGGGTATTTGAGTCACAAGGGGTTGGCTAATCAGGCTGTGAGTGGAGAAGGAGTCCTACCTTCTTGTGAACCTGATGGGGAACACATGGAAAACCAATCTGCAGCTACTGCAAGACATTCTCATTTTGTTCTCTACCTGTCTCCCAGTGCCACTGTGGCCTTCTGCTTTACTGCCCCTAAAAACTTTTTTAGGTAACTGGGATAACATTTTGCTAAGAGCTAGTCAAATCCTATAAACCAAATTCAAATCTACTGTTTTGATATTATATGCCACTTTATCATTCTGCAAATATGATCCAGATGGTAGAAATAAGGCTGACTCATGTGTGGATTGGTTTTGTGTTATTTGGATGCAAAAAAGAAAAAAAAAATCACCCCCTCTGAAAACCAAAATTCCAGAGATTAAATGACATATCAGAAACATTTCTTAAACTGAGCAGAAAACCACAACAGTACATGTGATATTAAGAGCCCAAGTCTGTCATTCTTAGACTGAGAAATGCCTTGTTGCACAAGTAGTCTCACAGAAATTGACAGGATTATTAACAGAACAGGATGCTCTTCAGTAAAAATAGTATGGCAGAAATTCTGTGCCAAATAAAGCAACTATAATGCCAACAGATTTAGCTCACTGAACTTTGATATGCAGTAGCCAATAAATAAATCAACTGGGAAATCTCAGTTCAGTCTACTGAAGCTTAAATTGTTGCAAATCTTAACATCAAGTAAAAAAATATTGATTTAGAAGACTGTGTACTAGTAACAAAGCTAAACAGAGAGAGAGAGAGAGAGGATGAACCAAAGTGTGTGTTAGATATTATTCTTCTAATTAGATATTCGCTTGGCCTGCAAAATTAAGATCCAGACTTTGAATACCCCCAAGTTCAGGGATGCTGTATAGTGCAGAAGAGAGATCTTGTTTGTTTAAACAATATTTCTAATAAAAAATATTTTGTAGGGTAGTTTTGCAAAGTAGTTTGTTGAGATGTGAATACATAAAAATGTTCTTTTCTTCGTATGTATCACATGATAATAAAACCTTTTTTAATTCTCTCTACAGGGCAAGGCATTTGGGCAGATGCTACTGGATTTTCAGATAAAAAACATTCCAGATTTAAAGTCACTGATAGAGTAACAATTATGGAGTACATTCATTTTCAAAAACTTTGACTGAATACATACAAACACTAGCTTCTGAGACAAGTTAAAAAAGATACAAAAGAAAGCAGTGGTGACAGTTATCTCTCACAGACTTAAATATACAGTACAGATAAGTGAACGTTTTGAGTAATACCAGACAAATAGCTTTGTGACCGATTAATGTTTCCTGTCTAGTTAGTGCATTGGATGAAGAGTTAATTTATTTCCTGTAAGATGTAATTAATCAAATTACAAAAATAACATATTTTACTGAGATAACCAAATATTTGCTTTCCCAAAATGAAAACTTCCTTCCCTTCCAGTTCTTCTTATTCTCTTCCTTTAGATCTTTCTTTGATAATTAAGAGGAATGATACTGAATACTGTCAGCTACCCTAGCCCACCATTGTCATGCTTACCTTCAGTCTACCCTGTGAACCTGCAGTAGATATCCCTTATGACATTGGAGCAAGTAGATAACCGGGTACTCCTCATCAGAAGGTCAGCATTCACCAACAACTGCCACACTATGGTATCAGAGATCAGTTTTGCTTTATACTTAGGGAAGTCATTAATGTCAGTTTCCCTGTTATCACGACATAGAGACTAACAGTCTATATTAACTGTTAAGGGTGACCACTGTAACTGCAAGGTTATCTGCAGTGATAGAAAAAAGGCAAGTATTTTTTACCTCTGGTATCCTAGTTGATAATAGTCCATCAGTTGAACAGCCCCAAAGTAATATACTTCTTGGCATGAAGCTATTTTGAAATGCTAAGTTAGATTTTTCTCCCCCATTTTGTCTCTTTTAAGATACTGCTGTACAACAGAGGTGGTGAAATCCAGCCCTATCATCTATCATTACTGAAAATTCCCCTTGTGTTAGGGAGTTCCCAACAGGCATTCAGCCAGTTGAGAGGTCTCTTGCATTGCCCTTCCCCATAACCCTACAAGGGAAAAGCATGCTGGGGGGAGGAAAGAGCCATGTCTATGCACTGTACTCCAGCCATCATCACTTTCCATGGGGACCACGTCCAGCTGGTAACAGTTGAGACAGCGCATAGGGTGACCTGTTCTTTATCAAGGTTGGTACTAGGCAGAGTGTATCAAATTCCCTGTGGCAGTCAACATAGTGGAGATTCAGGCCCAATAATTGTCTGCATGTCCTGCCACAAAGACAAGTAAATCTTTACATTAAAAGAAGATCTTAGTGGAAAATATATAGGTGTTTTTTATTCAGAAATGTGTTATCCTGTTCTTCAGAAAATAACATATTGCTGTAGTTGGTTAATGCTGAAAAATGAGATGTTACTAATATTGATGAACCCATAATGATATGGGTAGGTGTCATGTAAATTCAATCAAAAATCCCTGCCAGTGAAGCTCAGCCCTGTTGTATAATATTACTGCTAATTATGTGCTAGTTTAGCAACAGCAGCACTGTACATTAAATTGTTCCAGTTTGTTTTGAGGTTTTGAACTTGACTACTTTGAGAATATTGTTAGGGATATGTTGGTGTCACAGGCGATGACAAAAAAGAATCTCCCATTCGATTGAATGGAGCCATGATTTAAACACACATTATTTTCACTTGCAACCTAGGCAGGAAGATGTAAGAAGAAAACATACAAAAGAGTGTGTCAGCTAGTAATTTAATATTTTCGGACATAATATTATTTGCACATCACTTTTAAGTCTGGGTTTCATGACAAGAAAGTCACAGGATTGTCATAGACAAAAACATGCTGAAGTAAAAAGAACTTTTTGAAGAAAAATCAGTGCCCAGTACTTAAATTGTTTACATTTGTTTTGTCTTAGAAAAGTGTGAAATAATTGTCATTCATAGTTTGAAAGCACATTAAGAGGTATCTAGCAGCCAAGTTTTTTTAAATTCATGGAATAGTAGACAGAGCAGGATGAGGACCATTGGCCAAATCCTCAGCTGGAGTGAATGGTGTCACTCTGTTAAAATCAGTGGAGTTATACTGATTTAGACCACCTAGAGAGTTGCCCCAGGACCTTATTTAATACTTTAAATAGACATGTTTTGTCATGTTAATCATGGCTCTGCCAAACACATGCAACTTATTCATCTGCTGTTTTAAACAATTGTATAAGTGCATATGCGACTACTTTGATATGAAAAGTAAACTTCTAAAAAGGATAAATGTGTTTAGTATTTACTTTCTTTTAGTATATTTTCAAATTGGAATTGAGTTTTAAAGTGGTTTTGAACTTATAATTATGGGGGGGTTGTTTACATTTTCTAGATGTTTATGCTGTTTCTTTTCCCCTTAGGTTTCCTACTAAACTCTTTCACTGTGGTTAGTTAAAACATAATAATTATAAGACAAAAGAATATGAACATATTCATCCCTGTTGACAGAGAGCCGTGAACATACACAGCTATTCAAAAGAGGCACAGTTTATTCAAGAATTATTCCATACAGTATTCAAGTTGTTTGGATAGGGGGATGGACAGGAGTGCATATCTCTTATCTCTGATGGTGTTCATGCTCCTTTCAACACAACAAAACCATCCTTGACAAGGATGACTTTTATTCAGGGGTTTCTTTTCGTTTTGTTTGTAACGTACCGGGTTTCAGCAAGTAGCCTTATTTACTTTCAAAACACTGCACCTTCCTTTGGGGATGTAACTGAAGATTACTCATATCCAAAAGACTTTATGTTCCTTAACATAATTAAATGAATGAATTTGCACTTATGTAACAATGCAGACTGATCTGAAATAGTTATTAAAACTGTATTTATTTCTTCATCTAGATTGGAGACTAAGTAATTGCAAACACAGTTTGCTTGGGGAAAGATATAAATGACCTCTGGTACTTAGGATGATACTTGTTATTTGTTTGTTAAATAACTTATCTGAGTGACTTGCAGAGTAGACTTCTTGTCAATTCAAGTAGCTCAGCTATTCTGAACAATGGAGGAGGGCTTTACTGTCAAGCAGTAAGGACTATTCAGCCAAAAAATAATAATTTTTGTACACTATACTCAGAGCCAAAATGCTGGAATGGGAGTGCTCCTTAAATTGTTGAGTTTGGACAGTGCAGTTCAGGATTTTCCTTCATGCTTATCTTTGTTTTAAGAAACAAGGTTTTTTGTGCAGTGGGGTGTTAGAGAAAGTTTCACTTTTTGCACTGGCAGCAGAGGCTTTACTTTCACCCAAATTCAAGATTTTTTCACTTCATTGGTTTTCAAACACTTCCACAACAATTTTTTTCAAAACCTCGGGGCTGTATTGTGTCATGGGGTAAACTGCCTTTGTGTTTGTGAGAATTGCATCCTCAGAGTAGAAAACCCAGAACTGCCCAGTTTTTCAGCAGGTTTCTGTAACCACACATTAACATGTAAAGAAATTGTTGGGCACTTTCTCATGCTTGAGGCTGTGGTTAGATGAGAAGTGGAAACTGGTAAACTGTTTACATTAAAGCAGTGGAAACACCTGTGCACTTACTCTTATTTTATTTTAAGATTGGATTATTTCCGCTTAAATCAATTTCTAATTGATTTAAAATAATTTAAAATAATGTTTCAAACCAAAATATGTGTGTGCATAGCATTCCGCATTGGTTTGACGTAAATCCATTTTTAATATGTTTCAGTGTGATTTTTGTGTGACTAAAGCTTTCTTCCTTTTTCCCTCTCTGTAATGCTGGCTATGAATGCAAGGCAGAGATTAGGCTAACTAGGTGTACAGAGATTTCTTTAGCTTCTTGGCAGAAAGCTGTTTAATCACCCTTCTGGTGCAGGGGGATTTGTACCCTCTAGAAATGGCTTCTGTTACAAAAGTAGGAATTGTTCAGATCAGCTATGGCTCATCCCATCTCCAATATACAAGATCAAATCAGAAGCCCTAAATTGTCTTTAAGCTTTCTACCCTTACTGTCTCCTATGACAAAAGTAATTCTCAAATTAAATCATCAACAGCCCCTAACATTCAAACTGAATAGTCTGTTAATCTTTCATGTCTAATATATTTAAAGGTAAAATTTTGCCAGAGTTTGCCATTTTTGCTGCAGGTCAATCTGCCCACTACGTCATGCCCAAAATGAATGTTGCCCTGCAAGGACTGTTTAAAGTGCGTTTCTAAAGTTAGTCTAGGATGTGAAGTACGTCTTTAATTTTAGTCAGCTAGAATTTCCAAAATAAGGAAAGCAAACATCCTTTATTTTATCTTAATAAAAACTGAATGAAGGAAAGACTTACAGATGTTTTGCTCTCATGTTAGTTGAAAGGAATAGGAGAGCAGAAACCAAGACTTTCTTGCTCTCTAATATATTTTTTCAAGGCAGAACGTCAAATGTGTTATCACCTGTTCAAAACTGATGTAATTGACAGTTTCTTAAATAATCAGCACACAGATAAAAATGTACTTTAAAACTCTAAAGTGCATAGTCTGTGTCAACAAACACTTTGAATGTTTTCCCCCCAAAGATGCAGAGGCATTTAATAAACATGAACGAATTAAATCTCCCAGTACCCTCAAGATACTAATCTATTATTTATATCTAATCTTCATTGCTGCACTGGTGATCTGTGTCTGGGCTGACAGCAGTGTCACTCTTAATTGCCTCTTGGGTGACGTCTTTCCTGCTCAGGCCAGTGGGTTTCCACAGCTCTCTGTGTAACCAAATTGGTAGCAGAGGTGAAGCTTTTTCATGTTTCAGGTGTTTCTTTGATTTGTAAGATTGGGTTACAGAGGGTGGTAAAACCACTGCCTTCATATGTTGCTCTTTTGAAATTCAGAAAGATCTTAAGTCTCCTCTTCCCCTGGGGGGACCCCATTTCTCTTCTTCAGTTTCACCTTTGGTTTCCTTCCTGGATTTACTTGTAAGAGACCCTGACAATTGGGGGATTAAACTTCATGGCATTTCAAAAGCAAACAAACACTGCTTCAGCTAAACAGGGCCATGTCCAGGCTGCAATCCGACCGCGGCACAGCTCATCTGTGTCTGGCCTGAAGAGAAAGCTGCTTTTAAGGGAAATAGAGAGCCCCCAGAGCCTTCCCCCTAGTTCAGTGATTTTCAGCCTGTGGTCTGTGGACCCCTGGGGTCCCGGCCACATCTAAGGGGTGTATAAAAGATAACTATGATTAATTGAAGGTATATGAATACCTGCCCTTGCAATTCAGAGAGGTCCACACCTCCATTTGAAATTTTTTTAAGGGGTCTGCAGATGAAAAAAGGTTGAAAACCGCTCTCCTGGTTTTGCAAATGCCTGGAGTGAGGTACCAAGGAGAAGCCGGGCAGCCACTTGAAGGCTGCCTCCTTGGCCAGCCTTTGGGCGGAGGGTGGTGGGGCCGTAGGGTGCTTGGGGGGGGGCGGGTGTCCCTAGACCAAAGTGTGTGTGTGTGTCCAGAGTAGCAAGAGAGTAAAGGGTGTGTGTGTGTCCCCAGACCAGAGAGAATGAGAGAGGGCACCTGTGTCCCCGCTGGGCAGAGGCACCTGCCACCCTCCTAGATGACACCAGGAGCGGAGGGAGCGCCCTGTCCCCCTCCTCCCGCTGCCCCAGACGGAGGGGACCGGGGCCGGGAGGGGGAGCCAGGAGCTGCGGCTGCCGCCCATGGGAAGCGCGGGCTCCCGGGGCGTCTGGGTGGCCAACAATGGGGGCTGGGGACAAAGCGAGACGGGCCGGGCCAGGTGAGATGAATGGGCCGCCATCCATCCCCCCGCGCCGCCAGTCCGACGAGCCGCGGGGGGCCCTTTGTCGACGTGCCAGGGCCGCTCCGTGCGGCTTTGTGCCGGCAGCGCCGCATTTGCATGGCGGAGCCGGCGCGGGGCAGTGATGAATGGGCCGGGCCGCCCCGCGCCCCCGGCCGCTCGGGCGGAGGAGCAAGTGCGCGCCCGCTTGTCACGGGCGCGCCCGCTGCGGAGGGCAGCAGCTCCCCCCCCCCAGGCCCGGGCTGCCAGGGGCCGGGGTAGAAGCAGTCCCTGGCTCCCGGGCTTGCTCCGATCCTCCCCGAGGAGGCCACCCCGGCACAAGCGGGGCTGGCGGCGGCACCGCCGCCTCTTCTCGGGCGATCGGGAGCAAGTGCGAAGGGAGGCGGCGGGAGCCGGCGCCAGGCGCCCCGGGGCCCTGCCCTCCGCTTGTCTCCCCCCGGGCGGGACTTGCATTTGAAAGCCGTCCCCCTCCCCAGAAGGGGCTTTACTACTTGCTTCCAAGGCCCTGCAGGCGGAGGATGGGGCTGGGCTGGGCTGTTCTCCGCGGGGCAGATGACAGAACAAGGAGCAACGGTCTCAAGTGGCAACAAGGGGAGTTTAGGCTGGATCTTAGGGCAAACTCTCTCACCAGGAGGGTGGTGAAGCACTGGAGCAGGCTACCCAGAGAGGGTGGGATCTCCATCCTTGGAGCTGTGCAAGGCCCACTGGCTGGGAGGATCTAAGCTGGGGATGCTCCTGCTTGGATCACGGGGCCGCGCTGGATGATCCCCGAGGTCCCTTCCATCCCTCGCTTTCTATGACTCCAAAGGCTTCAGGCGGCTGCGAGAGGCCACCCAAAGCCTTCCAGTGCCCCACGCGGCTGCCCGGCTTCTCCTTGCCCCCTCCCTCCCCAGCCAGCTAGAGGAAGGCCCCGGGGGCGCTCAGCTCTGCTTCGAAGCAGCCTTCTCCCCAGGCCGGGGGCAGGCACGGTGCCCAGCCTGGACGCGGCGCTATTTCGCTTCCGAAATGTCACCAAGCGCATCCCGAGACCCGTCGCATCCCGCAGGTCCCCGACGGGGTCCCCCGGGCTCCCCCGCCCCCCAGCGCCGGGCACCCCTCTCCTTTGCGACGCGGCCCCGCCCCGCCCCGCCGCGTCTCGCCCAATGGGGGCTTGCGGGCCCGGCCCCG